TCATTATAAAAAATAAAAATATAGAATGTAATTATCATTTTTAGTGGATATTAAATTTGTGCTTATAATTAACATCTCAAATGATGGCATGTAACAACAAACAATATTCATGAACATGAAACTGCCTAATTATTTTGTAATCAAAGCCTTTAGCCAAGAGTCAACCATAACAGACTGAACACTCAGCAACAAGAAATATTTTAGTAAATAATAAATAGAAGTAAAATCACTTTAATAATAATATTTTTCTTGAAATGTTTATTCCTTCCCCAGAAAAAAAGGTCATAATAAAATCTAATATGATACTCATTAAAGCTATCTTAATATATCACTGGTAAACAAGATTTTTTCATTACTTTTTGAAAAAAAAAAAAAGGAAAAAAAGAAAAAGGACTGAACAATGTACAAAGGCAAAAAGATAACCAAATTATTGTAGTGTGATTAGAACATTCTAGAGAGTTGTAGAACTTTCAATTCTATTGGACAGATTCATGTGTGCAATTTGCATTGGATAGATTGAGATGCTCACTATCTCCACAATACCTCCCCACTGAAACTGATGTTACACTACCCAATGGCGCTTCCATACGGAGCCATGAGAAAAAACCTTGACAATGAAGAAATGAGTACCCAATGACTTTGTAACAACTGCTGGTACCCATTGGGGAGGTTTGTTTTAGTGAGGTCAAAAATACAGTGCATATACTGGATCACCAGCCTTGTACTACCTAGTTACCTTGGCAACACCAGAGTTTGGAGTCATCTTAAACTTTGATGACACCTTGGATTGCTTGCCCTGAGCTATGTGTGCTGGCAAGGGCAGCAGAGAATCAATCCTAGTCCATATCTGCCGGGACGTCAAGAGTTTGCTTAGAGAGAATTCACAGGATGTACTGCACCAAGAACTTTTGAAGAGCACACTTCAAGGACAGAGAAGATCTTTTAAGTGTTTGCTTGAAAGTATGCACCAAATGTTCTGCCATTTTGTTGGTGGCTGGATGATGCGGTGCTCCCGTCAGGTGTGTGATCCTATGTTTTTTACACTAGCTCTGAAATTCTTCAGAAAGGAAAGTCAATGCATTATCTATAACCAATGTTTGAGGGTATCCAGAGTGAGCAAAATCCTCCTCCAGCAGATCTAGAGTTGCTCTAGTATCAGAAAGCATCAGTGATCACCAACAAGTTTGTACCCATGTTGATAGCATGATTCACATGTGGCACCATGGCTTCTCTGGCAACATCCATGGGTGAACTGTTGGCTTGGATGGCTTATTTTGATGTCTGCTGCACAAGTTACAGCATTGACTAGCCATCTGTGGAATAACAACTCTTGATCCATGGATAAGACATCTGTAGTAGATACTAAGTGAATCTGACAATTTCTGGAACTTTTTGATTTCATCACTAATCTCAGTGTGCTTTGGTGGCCACCCTTCACAAACAGTACAACACTGTAGTTATCACTGGATCTTTCCCCAACTATTGACAGAGAATGTTGGTATCTACAGGTTTGACTTGAAGACTGAGAACTTTGATGGTGCACACTGTGATCATGTCTTCTTCACTTTGCTTCCTGTCAAAGTCATTGTTGTCTCCAGATGGCAAGCGACTAAAGGCATCTGCTTTGCCATGATCCACCGTTTTCTAGTACTTGATTGCATAGCCAAACTGGTTTAGTCACAGGGCCCATCAAGCTAGTCACTTGGCTGTGAGAAGTGGTTCCCCTATTTTAGGGACAAACAGTGCCATCAGTGGTTTATGATCAGAAACCGGTATGAACAGATGTCTATACAGATACTGGTAGAATTTCCACAAGCCAAAGGTAATGGCTAGAGTTTCTTATGGATTTGACTATAGTTTCTTTCTGTAGATGTAAGAGTCTTGAACATAATTGTGCACTCACATCCATCCGGATAGCAATGAAACAGGACTGCTCTAATTCCAATGTTAGATGTGTCACAAGCTATGGTTAAAATATACAAGGACTTGATCTGAGTATATGTTTTTCAACACTTCAAATGCTGCTTGTTCTTTATCTCCCCATTTCCAGGGAGTTGCTTTCTTGGTAAAACAATAAAGTGGCTCAGCCATAGTGGCTAAGTTTAGGACAAATTTCATGTAAAACTGAAACAAGCCCAAGAAAGACATCCATAGGAGGTGGCATCTTCATGACTGCCTTGACCTTGGATCCCTGTGCGATTCCTTCAGCTGATAAAATGTGGCCAAGATATTCCACATTGGGTAGTGCAAACAGGCTCTTTTCAAAATGGTATCAGAATCCTTTCTCATTCAAATGAGAAAAACACCTCAGGTTGTTCAAATGATCATTGACATCTTACCTGCTGACAAGCATATTGTCTTGGAAGACAGCAACTCCAGGCAGATCACCAGTTAGTTTCTCCATGATCTCCTGGAAGCAACCAGGTGCCGACTTGGTTCCAAATGGGAGTTACTGCTGCAGGAGTACTCCATGGTGAGTGCTGAGGGCTAGCCTGTGTTGATTCTCTGGTGCCAGCTTGGTTTGGTTGTAGGAATCAGCAAGATCAATCTTTATGCAACTGCATCCACCTCCTGACTTTTGCATCAGTTCCTTTGGGAGTAGCATCAGATGATGGTGTTCCTCTAGTTGATCATTGATACCCAATGAGTAGTTACCATGGATTCACAACTTTGGCTTCAGGGTACCTGGACTATGGACTTTGCAAATCAGTACCACAGGCATTCACTGAATTGGACTTGCTTCCATACTCCTTTGGAGATGCCTTCTTTGTAACCATTTACCAAGTCATCCTGAAGAGCAAATGGAACTGGTTGTGCTTTGTGAAAAACTGCCTTTGCATCAGACTTGAACTTCACTTCTAGTTTAAAATCCTTAGGACATCCTAATCCTTCTTTGAAAGGATCTGGGAACTTGTCACAGAGATTGTGGCAATGTTGTTGCAGGGAAACATAAGGCTTGTCAAAGGTCTTGGGATTTACACCCTCACTCATATTTTGACTTTCTATGCATCTCAGTCCAAGAGCATTGTCTACAGAGATTCCCAAAGTTTGGATAGCGTCTTGTCCCAGCAAGTTCAGGTCAGAGATCTTGGTGATGATGTAGTCTATTGAGTTTTGTTTACTAGTGCTTGGATCTGGTTTCATCGATAATAGTTCCCAACACAGGCAACTTGCTGGCAGACTCCTAAAGATGTCTGACATCATCCAGTTTCAGTTTTCTTGTTTCCAAACTGGCAAAGAAATGAAATTTCCCATAGTGGCAGTGTCCAGTTCCATTATGAATGATCAGTCTTGGATTGTGATTGGTACAACCAACCTAGAAGTATCATCACCAAGGATTATTTTGACAAGCTCTGCTTTTGTGATTCTCTTCACAAAAGATTGGGAACAATTTTCCTGTTGCTGCCATTGCTTCTTCCTACAAACAGCTTCCAAACGTCCTTTTGTGTCATAAACGTGGCTCTTGACTTCTTTGTAGGGGCAGTGTGTCACTTTATGAGCCTTTCCACATCTGTGACACTTATATACAGAGTCTGTGGAATTAGGCAATTGGTAGTTTTTTCATTGACCCTTGTTCTGGCTCTGCTTGACCTTGTTGATAGGCCTGGTCTTGGATCCATAAATGGTTTCCTTGACAACTTTCATCATGTCTTCAGTCTTAATAGTAACCTGAGCCACATGAGCAAAGTACAGCTCTGTGTCCTTGATCTTGAAAAGAGCCTTCAAGACAGCTTCATTGCTGACAGAATGTATGAATCTCTGTTTAAGAGCTTCATCTTGTGGATTAGCAATCAAAGAAAAGTCACAATTACCAGCATCTTGACATATATGCACTGCCAGCTTCTGGAGAGTTTCACCTGGCTTCTGTTGCATGTCACTCCAGAACTTGAAACATTCTCACACAATAAAACATTTCAGGTCAAATTGTTTTTTCATAAATTTGATGATTTCATCCATTGTTAACTTGTTAATAACCTTGGGCAGATTCTGTTGAGTAGCCAAATTTGCCAGTTGCTTATAGATGGTAGCAGTTTGATTCATCAAGAAAACATGAGCTTTGTTCCACAACAAAAGGGCAGTAATCAGGCCAAAGTTTTGATGTCGCATTTTAGAAGTTTGAATCAGCCTTCTCAAAGCTCGCATGTATTATGCTGCTGTGGCTGTACCTCCATTTGTTCCCTTTGGAGTTGAAGTTGTGTCTATAACTTAATCAGCTTGGTACTTAGTTCTGTCACTCGGCAAGGATAGTTTTTATCCTATCCGTGACGCTAATGTTATGTTTCTCTTGTTCATTCACAGAGAAAGCACAGTGATAATCCAAATAGATTAATTAACTGTCTCTCCAACAGTGTATGATGGGCAAGGACAAAGGCAAAAGACAACCAAACTACTCCATCTGCATTGCTTATATAGCAATGTGATTAGAACATTCTAGAGAGTTCTACAACTTTCCATTCAATTCTATTTGATAGATTTGCATGACAGCAATTTGTATTGGATATATCTAGATGCTAGTGATCACCACAACAATTATTAAGGAGAGAGAACAATAAAAGAACAAGAATTAAGACAAAAAATAATGATTGACATTGCATTTAAATTTTTGAAGGTCAAAATTGACAAGAAGGTAAGAAGCTGGAAGAGAGTTCCATTAGTGAGAAATGTGAGAGAAGAAACTGTTAGCATAGAACTTATAGTTCCATCTATAAACAGAGAGAAAAATCAATAACTGTTTTAAATGAACCATTCTGTAAGATCGAAGGAAAAAAATAGGTTGTAGTTATAATAAATGTTTCCATCTATTATCACTTCATTAAAAATTAGAAAAAAAATTAATGTGATCTTTCTCCTAATTTTTATGAGTTTTCTTGTCACTCTTGCCTTAACTTTTGACTAAAGGCTTGTTGCAAAATTAAAGCTAGTATAAACAGGATTGGTATTTTAGTGAAAGGGTTGCAAATTCTATTTCCATTAAGTGAATTGTTTCCTCAGTCACTTACCCAGTTTGATGCCGAAGACCAGCCAATTGAAAGAGAATATCAACTTCCATTGGAGTGATTTGTGCAGCAAAATCCTGTGCTTGGTATAATATCTCCTCTTGAATAAAGAAAAAATAAAATTTCCATTTATCTTTTTTAAATTAAAAGTTAAGACAGTGAAAATAAACAAAAATAAATTTAAAGTCTATATTTTTAATTAATGGATTTTATTAATTGCATTAATCTAAGATAAAAATCAATTATTGAGTAAAAAAAAAAGAAAGAAAAGAAAAACCCATATGCAACAGAATAATTGTTTTTACCTAAGTTAGATGAAAATACAAAAATAAAAGATTTCAAATCAATTTTAACCCAGTGTTTTATAAAGACATTTAAAAAATGTTAAATATATGAATTGTCACACTGGTTCAGTTTAAATGTTAAACCTATTAAAGACAAAACCTGAAATGACTTTTTGTATGCTTTAAGGTTTCAGATTTTGATTGCTTTTCTTAAATCAATTGTTGATATTATTCAGGACATTTAAGTAATACAGTTTTATAAATTAAAGTAGCTTCAAAAATTAATCCAGATATTTCAGTAAAAAAATAATCACATGCACAAAAAGATTCTTCCATGGAGTATTCAGTATTAATTTATGAAAGAAAATATATTGGTCAACCTTTGGTAACTTCCCTGTTGGCATCTCTCTGAGAAGCAGCCATGTAGATTTTCTTGACTAGCTCCATGTTATTGAGTAAAGAAATGAAGGCAATGAAGTATGTGTAACTGACTTGACGATGACGCTCGCCACCCAAAGTAACCTTAAATAAAAAAAATTCAAAAACAGAATTTATGATTTTAGCAATAACTAAATTTATTTCAAACAATTTTCAAACAAAAGATTAAACTCTAAACAAAATAAAAAAAATTATTAATGCTTTAGTGTTGATATTAAAAAAAAAAAATGATCTATATATCAAATATTGCTTATGTACAAGAAACTTTCATACTTAAAGAATTTGTATTTTTACAATCATAAACTTCATTCAATTAGGAGAAATAATGCAAAATTCAAGAAAATAAGAGATTCAAAATGGGACAATGGTTTTAAAATCAACTCACTGTAACTAAATTTTCTTTAACAAAAGGTGTTAACAAGTAACTTTTAAGAGAGATCATTATGTTCTCAAAATCCATGGCAGAAATGTAACCAGTTTTATCAGCATCAAGACGTCTAAAGGCTTGCAGAGCATGTTCTTCATGGAAGTCCTGAAATGAAAAAAAAATATTTCTCATAATTTTAAAAATGTAATAAAAGTATTAAAAATGTACAAAACAAGTCATGTACTTCAAATGTTCCCTAGATTAATTTGCTATTGATGTTAAAAAATAAAGAAATCCTTATCATAGACATTTTGAATTATTTTTCAGTTGAATATAGTTTCCATTGTAATAGTACGTTATGATTTTTTTCCTACAAAAACAATGTCAATTTTCTAAGTTACCATATATACTCGTGTAACATGCGATCTCATGTATCATGCGACCCTCAAATTTTCACATATAAAAAATGATTTTATGTATCTTGTGTATCATGCAAGTTCCTTTTTTGAGAGACCAAATTACAATAGACTAATCTCTTTCCCTTTCTTTATCCCATTTTCTAGTTAAAAAAGTGAAAGAGAATGATAAAAGTATCATTAATACTGCTATACTCATTGTGTAAACATGTACAGCCATAAACAACTGAATGAGAAACAGTTAAACATCTTATAAACATAAACAATGGAAAAGATGCATATACGCTATGTTTGTATTTTATAATACTAATATGTGAATATTACATGTATTGTTATTGGGTACAGTTAAGTAAAACATTAGTTTTATCAAAATCATGTTTATTTTAAATTACAGCTGCATTTTTCGATTACAGTAAATGGATATATAGTTTGGTTGATGCTGAAGCCGGGGCCAGCAAGCAGTACATATGCTAATTTTATATCACATGAATGATGCATCCCCCTTAAAATTAGCTTCAAAATTAGGTCTTCAAAAGTTGCATGATATGTGAGTATATATGGTAAATACAAATTAACATAAATGTTACATACAAAATTCAAGAAGAACTAAATAATTTTTGTTTATAAGACCATATGCATTATTGTTCATGATTCTATGAAATGCTTGCATATAAGAAACATGTCTGCTGACCAAACCAGCAAAATCTACATTTACTCTTTCCACTGACTTAGATATTCCTAGCAATGAATTGGAGCTTTCTTAGGATTGACCTTAAATGCATACTTCACAAGCCTTACATTTATTTTCAATATCAGTAATCAAGTTTGGACACAATGCATAGTATCAAACAAAAGCATTCATGTATATGAATGGTACTATTCCTATATGAATCTAATGAAGCTCTTGCAACACCTTCAAACCTGGGTGTAATTATTACCAAAGTTCTTCACATATTGTATCATCAAGAAAATTATACATGAACTTTAACAGTGCTCCATAAATTGTTGCTGATATTTAAAAAGAAATTCTTCTTATAGACATTTTAAATTACTCTTAAGTGTCTAACAGATGGGATGGGAAGGTTTATTTTTCTTTTGGGTGGGAATTTTTTGATCCCCCTGAGCCTATTAAGACTACCGTGTTTGTTAATTTCACACTTTGACTCTTTAAATGATTTTCTGACCCCTCTTTATTGCATATTGCAACCCCCACCCCATATTAGTCACTTGAGTGTATTTTTCAGTTGAATCTAGTTTCTACTGTAACAGTAAGATATGAATTTTTTCCTGGAAAAGCATGTTTTTATAAGTTAAAATAAAAATTAACATAAATGTGGCATAGAAATGAACTAAGTTTTATAAAATCTATGCATTATTGTTTAAATTTCATGTGCTATAAGATTAAATTTAAATTGAATTTTTTCAGAATAAAAAATATAGAAAATATGAAAAATTCAACTCCAGAAAGTGACATCATTGCTCTTTCTATTACTAATCAGAAATGAAAAATAAAAACAAAAAGAAAAAAATTCACTCACTTCCTCTTCTAACATATTTTTTATTCTTACTTTAAATATGAACAAAATTATGGACTTCATTTTCTTTAATAATTTAAACATGAACAATAAAATACATCTAAAGCAAAACCTTTAACACAAATTCAGGGTGGCTTTTCAACAAGTAAATCAGCATTTCTCAACTGGTGTGCCCTGAAAAGTAGTAATGTGCAACCCAAGTTAACAGAAGGATAATTTATGAATTATATTAAAAACAAAAATCTTTATTTGTAAAAACCTAGAGACACCAAGTACATGGCTCCCATGTCTAAGTAAAGTTTTTGTCATTTAACTGGATGCTAAAAATTCATTTCTTTTTCAAAAAAAAAAAAAAAAAATTCTTCATAAATCCCTTTAAATGAAAACTACTGATAATCTTTAGGAATGCTAAGTCAAAATTTCATAATTTCAAATTTCATGACTAATTTTTCCTTATTAAAAATTTAAAGTACGCCCCAGAATTTTTAGTTATTCTACAAGCGTGACCTCAAGCAAAAAAAGTTGAGAAACACTGAAGTAAATAAATGAAATAAAAGGTTTGGCTGGAGTTATGAAACAACTTTAAGACAATTCTGCTTGCATTTGAAAAAAATGTTTAAAATTATTTTTGCCTTTAATATAACTTATAGGGATGTTTAAGATTTAACATTCTGCCTATTAAAAAAAGTAATTTTTGCACTAATAGTTTTTATACAGTCAGTCTTCATTGGGACAATTATTAGTTTCTGCTCCTATTTTTTAGTAACTTCATGATTGTTGCAGGTTTTATGATCATCTTAAAATAGTAACATGCTTTTGGGGAGAGGGAGGAAGGAAAAGTAGAGAGAAAATAAGAAAAAAGAGAATGTAAAAGAAAAAGAAAATTTCATAATGAACAGAGGTCTTGGTAGAAAAATACCTACTTTTGGTAACATGGTGTATCTATAATTGCATGATATGCAGCACACTAAACCTAGTGGGGTTCTAACAAAACTAAGGAAAGATAGCTATCTGCCCAACAGCAGTTATTTCATAACAACACATCCACTAAATACTTAGTACCCACCACACCTGTAGTTAACATTCATGACAACCTGTGAGCTTTAAGAACAGCAGGTGCCATCAAACACTGGGAGAAATGGCAGTATTATATAGCAGAATAATCAGCAGAAACTGACACCGCTTCATCTTCAGGTGTTTCAGAAACCCCAGGAACATGAGGCACCAACATCACAGTTTTAGAATTTGATTCATTATACTTCCGCTTACACTTCAAAATTTTCAGCCTCCAACCATTATTTTGTCTTTCATCCAACATCTCAAAAATTCCGGAAAAGAACATCAACTCTAAAATCATGCAAGGGATGTGCAAACCAAAGTGAAGAATGTAACATTTCCTTACTATCTTAGAAAGTATTGTATTTGGGTACCAATACAATGCACCAACCCAATAAGAATATTTAATCTTTATTAATGATACCTTCTGTTTCCAATTAATCAAGTTCTTTCTCAATTCTGCACTTTATGGAATAAGGTGAGGAATGAGTTTGTACAAAATCCTAGTGTTACTGACAATTTCATCTTAAAATCTTTTAAATAACCTAAATCAACTATTGACATCGTTTGGACTGTTGTCCACATCTTTATTGCCATATTCACAACGTTTTAGCCATTGTACACTCTAAACTTCATGTGATATATGTTGGAATGTGGAACAGAAAGTTACTGAAGGGAATTAACTGATACTGAGATATCCAAAAAGGGCATGGCATATGGAATTAGAACAATCTACCCCCGCGGACTAAATATAGAGTTCTGTTTGAAATTCTATACTACAATGCTTCACTAATTCTCTGTATACATTTTCCATATCAATAACATCTCTTGCAAACCTTTCAAAATCACCCAATTCCATAAATTTCCTCAAATTTATCACTGAACATGAAGTACTTGAGTCTATCCCAATCATTCTATTGATTCACAAATAGAATGCTAGAAAATCTCCTCACAGATGAAGAAACTTGAAGCAACATTGATATGGTTCAACTGATAAATGCTAAGAACATAAACAGTTCTTGTGTGTAACAAAGAAGTTTTAAGGAAAAAGATCTACAAAGAAACCGATTTACAATCAGAAAGAGACAGCTAAAATTTCTGGGACACATAGTGAGGAAAGGAGGCCTGGAAAACTTACAGGATATACTGAAGATTCACCAATAATTCAAGCTGCATAGATAGTGAACATGACACACCAAGTGTATACAGCTCCATCATTTTCATACATTGAGCCAAACAAGCATCAATGTTATTTACTGCCATCTTTCCTCCTCCTAACAAATTGCTTTCATCTAACCTTGCATGCAAAACACTATTTTTAAAAGGACAATTATCAGCAACATGGCTGGTATTTTCAAAGTTGTAGTAGTTTCATTTCTTTGCCAATCTATAAATAGGACTCTCATTCATTCCTTGGAAAATTCTGTGGAGGACTTAAATGCTACAGATAGTTTGAAACCTTTCTTTCTTTTTAACACCAACCACAGACAATAATATTTCTCAGCACTTACCATTATTTTTTACATTACTGATAGAATACAAAACAAAGAACTCAATCAAACTACATAATTCATTCTGGCCCAATTTTCCATTCAGTTATATGGACAAATAATGATATTAACACTGGTCACAAAATTCTGCACCCATTACTTTTAACTCATCACTAATTTTATGTGTAAAATATCAATAAAGAAACAACTGCCTTGATAGAAAATTTTATATTTTTATGCAGCATCCCCACTTGATAGGGTCCTATCATAGTTAAGGAAAGATAACCACCTGTTCAAAATTAGAAGTCAATCTGTATCAAGTGATCCTTAGAAAAAAAAAATAAATAAATAAACACACATCCCTTAAATGCATATATATTAAAGAAAAAAGAAGGCATGCAATGCAATTACAATTCAAGCAGCCAAATTTTTAATAAGTTTACATCATGAAAGTTAAAAATGTAATTTCTCCAAAACATCAAAATATTTTTTCAAAATATTACTTTTTTTTATAATAGATTTAAGATACCTTGAAAGACATGATGTAATCACCAAAGCCAAAATTCAATTTTAAAAAAATAAACTTACCAAATTATTTTTTTGCAGAAAAAAGTCTGAACTATGCACAAGGCCACATTTACAGAGCACCAAAAGACAAAAGAGCTTAC